GCCAGTTTATTTTCATGTACCACAGTCAGGATTTCCCCTCTCAAAGTTCTGGGAATGAACACCCTCCCACCTCTATACCAACACCCATTCCCCTTCTGTTCCGCTGAAGGGTCAGTTTGGATGTCCTCCATGTCCCTGTCTGAGAAAGCTGTTTTAAATTTGCAAATCCAGGGTTCAACCTCAGTGGGATTCTCCACTTTTGAATGCGAGTTACAACCGTCTCCCCAACTGGGTGGGTGTGAACATTGAGTCGACGACTTCCTCCCGCTAGCTGTTATGTTGCGGGAGGCGAGACAGTGCGTCAGCCAGAGAGTTCGATTTCCCTGAGAGATGCTGGAGGGTGAACCGAAATTTAGAGAAAATTTGCTTGGCGTTCAGGCGCCTGGGTGTGTGTAATGCCTCCAAATGTTTGTGGTCCGTCCATACTTCAAATGGCCCCCTCGCCCCCTCCAACCAGTGCCTCCAGGTTGTAAGTGCCAGTTTGATAGCGGCCGCCTCTTTGTCCCAAATAGCCCAATTACGCTCCAGGGGGGAGAACTTCTTGGACACATACACCAGGGGATGGAACTTCCCATCTCCCTCCCATTGCAGGATAGTCCCTCCCATCGCCACATCCGAGGCATGGACTTGGATTACAAAAGGTTTATTTTCATCAGGGTGATTTAAAATGGGTTCAGAAGACTCCACATCTCAGGCATAGGCCCTGATGCATCAATTGGTCTCTGATGGCTTCTCTCGTCTTGTGTCTTGCTGTTCGTTGTTCTGTTGCTGTCTCCGCCACCGTCACCCTTGTGGGGACACGGGGCTGGTACATCCACAACAGGTTGGAGTGGTTCTCCACCTCGCAAGCCACCTGGATCCACCTGTTCAACGTCAGCGGGTTGCCCTGGGCCAAGGCCCAATCTAGAATTGCATGGTTCAGCCTGGCCCGATAAAGTTCAACGAGGACCTCTATGGGCCACCCCTGGAGCTTCGCAGCATATGTTTTGAATTCATTGGAGTACTTCCACACTGAGGGCCCCCCGTGGCACAGGCCTCTCAAGTGGGTGCACGCTCTCTCTAGCTCTGGGGGATCTTTGTATTGGCGACAGAGGGCCCACATAAAGAAGAAGAAGAAGAAGAAGAAGAAGAAGAAGAAGAAGAAGAAGAAGAAGAAGAAGAGATTGGATTTATACCCCGCCCTTCACAAAGGTGACAAGCTCCAGACACTTCAAAGAGAGGGAGAGAGAGGAACCTTCTCTCTCAATGACAGGCGAGCTGTAAACTGCAAAATGCACAGAGAGCCTGACAGTCACAAAAATAACATTAAAGTAGCCTTCTAGTCAGTTCCCAAGTAGTATAAAAATATTTTCATAATCAAAATGAGGTCAGTCAAAAGCACCACTGACTGAACTTCCCCACAGGAGCATGTTCAAAGTTCCAGATTCACAAGCAAAAAGTTCTGTAAAGGAAGCCCACTGCAAATCCATACATGTGTCTGCAAGAGAGTAAGATGTGCACTCTAAGAACATTTTGAGTGAGATCAATGACAGTGAAAACCTGTATGCAATAAGAAGGTTCTGAAGCACTAAATGTAGAGCTTAATATTACAGATCTAGTGGAGACAAGTTGAAGAAATGTAAACATCTGGTAATATTTCTTAAGATATTATTTATAACAAACTAAAAAGAAGTAAATAAAATACAAACACATAGAGCAGCACAGTGAAGTTTAGATATACTGCATGTCTGTGCTGGGCATCATTTTCCTTATTTAGGTCAGATTCCAAGATATTTAGAATAACAGTGCCCACCCTTCTTTAAATATAAAGTGTATATGAACTTCAGGCAAATTATATTTTTATCATACTCATTTTCTTTCCTTTGAGTCTTTATAATGCCTTTTCCTTTTTTTGCAAAATATTTTGTTGACTTTAGTTATTCTTATTACACAAACATCTTCTTCGTGGTCTCTGTGCATCACACCCTTGGGATACACTGCGCCTGCGCTGAACCTTCTCGGTACCGATAGCTAGCAAAAAGGGATTTTCGCGCCTCTCCCAGGTCACGCGCCGGCTCCACTGCGCATGACCAAGGAGGGGCACGCAGATCCCGCCAGTTCCTTCTGACCGCCGCCCAACAGCCTTCAAAGAAACAAGATGAAGGGCCGAGAGCAGAGGGGAAGGAGGGCGGGTGGTGTGAATGCACAGATGACCACTCGAAGATCACCAGTTACAGGTAAGCAACCTGTCTTTATCAACTTGCATTATAGAGTTTTTGCAAGAAAGGATTACCAAATTGAGACACGTCATAACCTCTCTTTAATTTTTCAGTCTGATTAGGAGAAAGGTTTCCTTCATTTCAAAAGCCACTCAACAGCTGTGGGAATTGAACCTGATTTCTAGTGGCGCACAAAGACTATTCTAGCAGCTATTAGCATATGTGAAATTGTATTCCTCTTATCCTTTGGGAACATAGCAGTGTAACTTAATAAAATAACCTTGACTGAGAAACAGAAATATAAACCTGCAACAGAAATATTCTGCAACAGAAGACCAGTAAATTTTTGCTCTTCAACATGTCCACCACATATGCAGATAATCTGCATTATGTAATTTACAGTACCAACATGTATCATGCATGTTTCTGTAAATTTTTGCTATTTTATATGGTGAGTAGTGCCATTGATATAGCATTTTTATCAAATTTTCTCTTAATCTAAGGGAGATAAAAAAGGTTAAACCATGCGAAAATATATTTCCATTTTTCCTTGGAGGTTTCATGTCCCAAATCCTTTTCTCACTTGGATTGAAACAAATGTTTAGAAACATTAACTGCTAAGCACGGAATCGCTTAAATTTTGAAAAGTAGCCTCTCTTGATTTTTACTTATGGTCTCTTTAGATTTCTTTTTCAACGTTAATCATGTTTTCATTGCTTAACTTGCAGGAAATAGGAAAAGAGCTTGGGGCTAGAAAAATGCACCTGGAATCCATAGCATTTGATGTTCAATTCTTCATTTCTGAACATGCCGAAGATCTTTCCCCGAACCAGAGCAAACAGCTACTGAGACTCTTAAATGCTACACAGAAGCATTTCCAGGAAATACAAGAAACAATAAAATCTCAAGCAGACCATTTAGAAACTCTAATACAGACTGCACAAGTTCTTGTCGACCAGAAGGTTTGCTTCTCCGTGTGGTTGTATTGTTAACACCATCCTGACATAAGTCCAGAAAATACATTTCTAGATGGAGAACTTATAGGGTATCTGAAATGGAAGGTCTAGCCTTCAGAATTCTAGAGAATTCTCTACAAGTGCAAAGAATCTCTTATAAGTAGCACATGTGTGTGCTTTAAGAGCAATTTTGTTTTATATAATATTCGTAATTTATAATATTTAGAAATGGTAAAACATTACTCAGCAGTGGATAAGAGTATGCTATTTTTTGCACATAAAGTTGACACCATAGAGTCTAAGGTTAGGGCTAGTTTCTTCAAGGGGATTTCTCATAATCTTTTTTACTCAATATTTGGGATTCAGCCCCACTCCTTACATAACTCAGGTTGGGGGACAGGGCTGCTGATTCTGCCTTGTTTTACATCTAAACGTTCTCTGAGACACTGTCCGTGCCATCCCAAGCACAGTTATACCTTTCTAAGCCCATTGACTTAAATGAAATGTAGCTCTGTTTAGAATTGCACTGTTTATCTGCTACTGTTGGGGAATTACTGCACCATGGAGTCAGGTTTTTTGAAGCACATTTGAAATTCTGACACAGGGTGATAGATGCAACCCCAAAAATATCTGGTGCAGGGGATGGAGCCAACCACCAAATGTCAGGAAGGGAGGTTATGGAAAACCCTAATAGTAACACTTAACCTGACCTGGATAGCTCAGGCTAGCCTGATCTCACCAGGTTGCAAAAGCTAAGCAGAGTCAGCCCTGGTCAATATTTGGAAGGGAAGCCACCAAGGTCATGATGTGGAGACAGGCAATGGCAAATCACCTTCGAATGTCTCTTGCCTTGAAAACCCCATGTGGTCCTCGTAAGTCAGATATGACTTGATGGCCAAAAAAAAAGGTAATAATTTTGGGCAGAAGCTTTGCTTAACAGAATGCCTTTCAAAATGAACATGCTGTTTAAAAATATTTTTCTTGCGTACACAGAGCTTACCTTCAGTCAGTACAGTGAAGACCCTAGTGCTGTGGCGGCAGCTGCTGGCAAAATCAGTGTGTTTTTTTTCTTTTAATTTGCTCAGCCAATCAGATCTCCAATGGCCAACCAGAAGCTGTGCTAGACTAAAGTTCCACCTGGTCCCCCCACCCACTTTCAAAAAACACCTGGTGGGCACCAGGAAAGCTGTCTATGGGTAGCAAGGCCATTGGCACCATGATGGGGACTGCTGTACCATGCTAAGGAGGATTGAGAGTTTTGTTAGAACTAGTGCTGGGCAGGACAGGAAAAGCTCCACTGTTCTGCAACCCGTGGGGAAAAAATTACTTTGGAGGTCCATTCTTTTGGATCATTTGAAAGAGGGCAGAAATGCAGAATTTCTAAAGTCATATTCAGGGGGGAGTTAATATGAGTAATGAATGTGATTGCATGTCTGCCTTGCTCTATTGCTTAAAGGTGGGGGGGGACATTTTATATTCTGGTGACATTTACCCATACCAACTGATCTAACACTTAGTTTTCAACTAACCTTTGTTTTGACATCCTTTTTCCAGAATTTGTACCTGTTTATTACAGGTTTCAAGCCGTTAAGTGACTTGGATTTTCACACGCATAATGCATGGCCAGACTTCTGCTGAGTGATTCCATCCAAAACCTGGTCTCTTTACTTACATCGTTTGTGAGGTTTATCCATATCTTCTATATTCAGCTTTTTTAAACTGTATGCAGCTGCTATCATGTTTACAGCATACTTTCAGAAAGAGTGTCTGATGAAAGCTTTGAAAATGAACTGGTACGAGAGCTTATGAGCATTCTATTCAGGTTTCTTCTTATTTTATAAATTAGGACTTGGCAGAACAACATCAGGAATTTAAAGAGAAGATTCAGGATATCTGTGACCTCCTTACACAGACTGAAAATCAGCTCATTGGCCACCAAGAAGCCCTTGTTATTGAGAGTGGCAAGTCTGAGTTGCAGCAATATCAAACCAAACAAGAGGTAAAAAATTCCCTCATATGCAACAAAACACAAAGGGTGCATTGTTAAATCACATTTCTTTGCAGAGAAATGAGACATATTTTTAGCAAACATGCTTAGGATCACACAGTAAAATTCTTTTAGAGTTGCTGTGTTTCTGGAAATGTGGTGCAAGGTGAAAGGTTGCATTGCACAATTTGGTAAATATTCAACCACATAATTTTTCTTGTGATACGCACGCACGCACATGATTATAATGGAAAGTATCTAGTGCTCTTCAGCACCTTGTCCAGAGTCATGTTTGAATTCTTCTTCTAAAATCAGTACTTCATTAGTCAGGTAGTAGTCCTCTGTCAATGTCCTTCTTGTTGCCTGAACAAATGTTTCAGATTGGTTCTCATCTGAGACATTGCCTGGCCACCTTCTCCCTTTATGAGGGTCTTTCTTTCTGTCTGCCTTCTTTCTCTCACACACCCAAAATATATTGAGCTGCATAAATGTTCATATTTACCACTTTTTTGTTTTGCTAAACTGATGGAAAGATTCACCCATAATCTTGGGGCAGGAAGGACATAATATTATGAAGAAAAGATACTTGGCTGTAACAGTGCAATCCTGATGTGGAGATAACACCCTTCTTAAGGCCATTGACTTTAGAAGTATCCTCCCCATCCACCCCTGTGTTTTGGACAGTTAAGAACATAAGAACATAAGAGATGCCAATGTTGGATCAGGCCAAAGGCCCATCCAGTCCAACACTCTGTATCACACAGTGGCCAGAAATACCAGTGCCATCAGGAGGTCCACCAGTGGGGCCAGGACATTAGAAGCCCTCCCATGTTGACCCCCCCCCAAGCACCAAGATGACAGAGCATCACTTGCCCCAGAGTCCCTATCTATACCTTGTGGTTGTACTCTGTTTCACATACTGATCAGTGCCCTTATTTCTGATTCCATCATCTCATGGTCATTATTAAGAATAAGATATTTGAATTAGCCAATTTGTGACTTCATCACAAAAAAAAGAGTAATGTTCAACACATGGAGATAAAACTGGCTTGCACCTTTCAGGAGGGAATTTGGAGAACTCAAACACTAAGTGCTAACTCTTCTTTCTGTCTTTTGTTACTCTTTGTCACCCCCCCTCCCCAGGAGCTACAGAAAGACATGCAAGCAAACACACAGGCATTGGCAGAGATTGTGAAAAATACAGAGATGTTCTTGAAAGAAAATGGGGGAAAGTTGTCACAAGAAGACAAGACTGCTCTTGAGAAGAAGCTGAATGAAGCCAAGACAAAGTGTTTGCTGCTAAGCCAAAAGGCTGAGGAATCGAGAAAAGAGCTGGATAAGGCTGTGACAACAGCCATTAAGCAGGAAACTGAAAAGGTTATTTAGCAGTGATTAGCATTTCATTTTGAAACGGTGTATTGCTCATGCATATGTTGACAACCCCAGACAAATTTCATGAATTTTGGGAGGGACTGTCATAAAATTCACCAGGGATTTTCAACAGTCACACAGGAATATCAACCTTAATTGAACTGCAATAAAAATTCTTAGAATTCCTACACATACCAAGTGGAAGGAACCCTTATTTAGTTCCACGACCCACCATAAGGAGGGGATCCTCTCAGCAATAGTCCATGCTTTGCAATAATTCCCTATGGATTTTCTGAGCATATAGCAGAGTGTGTCCATCCTATCATTGTGTTGGTATCCACAGATGATCAGAAATCCAGGAACTTCAGTATTTCAAGGAGGAAAGAATGCTTACATAGAAATGTACTGCCTTCATTTGTAGGTTTGTGAGCAAGTTTAAGAGTTTCATGATTCCAGCTGTGATAAATTATATCTTCAGGGCCAAAACAAAATCTGTTTAAGGACCAGTTCCTATAAAAAATTTTTTGAAGGCAGGCATGAGTTCTAAAGTGCAAAATACATGAGCAGTGAATGAAATGTGAATTACATTATTTACTGTGAGTCCCATTCCCTCTTAAAATATGTTCGTTGTTGTTCAGTCACACAGTCGAGTCTGACTCGTCGCGACCCCATGGACCACATCACGCCAGGCCGTCCTGTCTTCCGTCGTGCTCCGGAGTTTGCTTAATTTCTTGTTCGTTGCCTCGATAACACTGTCTAACCATCTCATCCTTTGCCATCCCCTTCTTCTT